AGATTTCTACATGTTAAGTAAGCAACTGAGCTAGTAACAACAACGGCAACCAAAAATGAACTGGAAACAACTGCTTCCGCCACCCAAACATGCTCATGCGCATAATTTCCAAAACTTCTAGACAGTACTAGTTCATTATTAGCGGAAAAAACAACTAAAAACCTGAAACTATGCATGAATGCAACGTATGAAACAATTACAATGAAATGAATGCACTGACCTGCTGGTAAAAACTTTCGAAACAAACGAAATAACTAATTTTAACAGAAACGGAAACAATAATGAAGTGAAACGCAACATTTGTAAACAATGTGCATCAAGATACGTGGTGAATAAGAGCTGGATAAACGGAAAAATCGATGTGTAAACGAACAGCTACAGAACTGCAATCCAACATCTGGCGGCCTGCTTAAACCCTGGGCTACCAAAATTTCCATCCTATATATTGCATCTATTTCCTCGTATTTATTTTATTTTAATCATTCAATTATGTGTACTAATCGCATTGTTTACTCTCGCGGTTATTTAAAAAGTTTCCAACCGGCTAATTTACTCGTTTCTAACAAACTTAAGAAAAAGCCTCATGGTGGATGGCAACGAGCTTTAAAGCGTACTCCAATGCATTTGATGACTGTTCCTGTGATTATGAGCACAAATTGCAGATATCTACCAAACAAGATTAATTATTTGCATTCTCTATTATGCTCAAATGTATATTGTAACACTGCTGTAATTACTCTTCAAGAAACTTGGCTGCACGATTCATATGACGATAATTTGGTCTCTTTACCTGATTTTACAATGTACAGACAAGACCGATGTAGCTCAGAGAAGAAGAGAGGTGGAGGTGTGGCCACTTTTATTAATTCTCAGTGGTCTACTGCCAACAACGTCTGCTTCAAATTCTCAAATGACAATATTGATTGTATAACTAATAAATGCCGACCTAAACACTTATCTAAGTATAACTGCATTTTTGTCACAAATATCTATGTCACACCTTCTTGCAGTCCCTCAGAACTATCGATCTTTGCCGACGAATTCACTATTTTTGCTGCTTCTTCGTTTGGTAACTCCTTGTCTGTAGTAACTGGTGACTTCAACGCCGGTGACTACAGTTTTATTACATTGCTGGGTCATGAAAATGTGGTTAACTTCCCAACTCGACAAGATACTTCGCTTGATTTAGTATTCATAAATGATTCTGGAATATACGAAGCTCGTAAAAGAGCTCCACTCTCAAACTCTGACCACTGTGTTGTACGAGTTCTACCTAAAGTTTACGGAAAGTTACACAAAAAAGCCTTCTCTAACTTGTCCAAGAAAGTTGTTCACAGATGTTACTCAAATGAGAATGTACAACATCTTGGAAACATGCTCAGTGACACAAGATGGGATCTGTTTAATGATGTTTCATTTGATGACACAATCTCTAATATTACGTCTTATCTGAAATTCTGTTTTGAAGTCTGCTGCCCAAAAGAAACATTATTCGTCAAATTCGACCGTTTCTCCTCCCCTCAACTTAAAAAGCTTCGTAGAGAGAAGGAAAAGCTATATAAAATGAAAGATAAAAGTGGCGTAAAAAGAACTAACTTCCTTATCAAGTCTGAAATGCAGAGATTGAATGTTATATATAGCCAGAAATTCATATCCTGCAAAAATGCTTCAAATATATGGAAACTATTTAAGGAAATCACTGGTGGTAAGCAGATTAACAATATTCCGTATTCTTCTGATGTAAGTACTCTTAATAAATCTTTTATTTATTCTCCCTCAAATTACATGCTTCCCAGTATCACTAGTGTTAATAATAGCCCCTTTCCAGGTTTTAACACAAATGATGTTCAAAAGTGCCTCAAGTCTCTGAACCCTTCCCAGAGCTTAGGTCCAGATCATGTACCTAGTATTATTTTCAAAAAATGTTCTGATATTCTATGTTACCCTCTCACTGATCTGTTTAACAAATCTTTTTCCAGTAATACTGTGCCTGCTGTTTGGAAATACATTAAAGTTGTACCCATACCTAAATCGTCTACTGGAGCATGTGTCAAATTTAGACCCATTGCTATTACCTCTCCTTTTTTGAAAACTATGGAGAAACTACTTTTACTTAGTCTTGCACCCTCTCTTAAATCCTTTAATGACCCAAAACAGTTTGCTTATAAGCACAGTAGAAGCACTTTAGATGCAGCTGCCGTCTTATATCATAACATTGCTTGCAGTCTAGACAAAGGGGCCAAATTTGTCCGTTGTGCCTTCCTAGACTATACATCTGCTTTTGACTCGGTCCCTAGGGACATCTTGTTAAATAAACTTGCTGTAAGTCAAACAGAATGTTGGGCTGTTAACTGGTTACACTCTTATTTCTCAGAAAGAAAGCAGTATACCGTGTATAAAGGGAAGTCTTCCACTTCATTACCTACTGAAGCTGGTGTCCCTTAAGGCGCTGTCCTTTCTCCTTTTCTTTTTTCTTTCTTCTTACATGACTTGCCTCAGTCCGATGAAATAAATTTTGTGAAGTACGCTGATGATTTAACTGTTTCAATGGCTGTTAACTCCCAGCTAGATTGTACCAAAATAAATAGCTTTCTGTCGGAAGTCAGTAAATGGTCTGAGTCTAACGGTCTTAAACTGAATCCTTCTAAATGTCAAACTGTTAATTTCAGCTTAAGGTGTAAACGGCAGTTAAAAGAAGCCGTCGATTCTTATGACAGTTGTAAGATTGATGACAATGATATAGGAATTAAATCAGAAATTAAGTATCTTGGACTTATTCTCTCTTCTGATCTCTCCTGGTCTTCCCATGTCTCAGCGATCTCCAGTAAAATATTCCGCCTGACATTTTACATTAAGAAGTTAAGGCACTGGGGTATAACTCAACCCCCCCTCTTACAGTTTATAAACTCTTGCATCCTACCTATTCTTCTTTATTGTTCACCCTTATTCTTTCCTGGTTTGCTTAAAAGGGACTTTTTCACAATTCATAGAATGCTGAAGACTGTCAGCAGAGTGAGTGGTGTCCCAGTGGACTACATAGTTAACGTCGTTGTCGATAGGCATTTGACTTCGTGCAGTATATTTGCCAAAGGGATTTTGTCTGACTTGGAGCATCCACTTCACCCTCAGCTTTCACCTTGCATCTCCTCAGGTAGAACGAGAAGTAACTTCAGAAAACTGTATGCTCGCACGTCTAAGTATAAAAATTCTATGATACCTTAATTGGCACGTATTTTATGTGATGAAAATAGCGTCAGGCAAGAATTGACTAACCTTTTTTCATCTAGTAAATAAACAATCTTCTCCATCCATCCTTATATACCTTCAAGTTTTACTTTTATTATTTCTATTATATTTATGGTCCTGTTGCTTCTTGTTCTCACTTTCATAACTGCAAACACCAACTTATCTCTATGACTGCTGTAATTTTTGTTTTTCCCCTCACCATATCATGTAAAGAGAACATCATATTCAATATTTTTAATCATGCAAGGATTCGTATACCGCATCGACAATACTGTGTGAAACAAGCCGACGGCAATTTTCACTTGTATTATTATTATTATTATCATTACCTTAGCTGCTATCATTATTATTATTTCCATTTTATATGCTGCATGTTTTTTATTTTTTTATTTTTATATTAACCGTATTGTAAATGTAGAAAAATTTTCTTTGTGATTAATTTTATTCATAATTTGAGGAAATTAGATGCAATATTGTGATTAATGCTGAAAATTCCATTCTGTATCACAAGTACTGTTTTTGGAATAAAGTAAATTATTATTATTATTAACATGGACGAAAATGACCTTTGGGCGTCTCACTCCATCAATGACCTTGTACATGGCGTTTAATTTCTGCCCAACGCTACGCATTCGGTGTGTAACGCAATAGAAACCAATATAATGCCACTAAACAAGTTTCTTTTTCTTCTTTTTCAGAAAGAAACCTCAACGTGGCATCACTAGAGCAAGAGGAAGATCAGCTCTCTAAACTTGTCATAAATGACGATAAGTAACTTGTACCCCGGGCTATTCAAGCCTCGTTTTGCTTGAAATAAACATATCTTACTCGCCGCCTTTGTCTTCTTCCATCGTCCGTCGTGTTTGCGGTCTGAGTGTTATAGGTGAAGTGTGTATCGGGCGCGGAACCACTGTTTGAAATTAGTCGCCATAGTACTTCTTTGTCGCAGTCCAGAAATGCCCAGACGGAGTACGTCCCTATATATTCGTCACCTTCCAGACACACGCAGGTATGTTTTAAGCTTCTACTTTGTTATATCACTTTTAGGCATGACGATTTAAGACGTTGCTTCGGTCGATATGGCAGGATCGTCGATGTTACAATACCACTCGATTTCTTCACCGGAAGAATGAAGGGCTATGCATTTGTAGAATATCCTTTTTCTGTTTTAAGTGGTTAATTTTACGTTATTATTGCGTTAATATACCTTACCCGTATAAATGTTTGCCGTATTCGTCTCACAGGCACGGCAAATTCAAACCCAAATCACTTCAGCTATTGGTCACAAATGATGGCTCAGTTGCCAATCAGTTTCAAACAGTCAATCAATAGTGATAGGCTCAGTGCATCACTAAATAAACAATCTGTCTAGTTGAGCAAGGTACATGGCAGCACATGAACTTTCAAAGTACTCAGTGTTCAAAATAATAAAATCAATCCAATCCAAAATCAGTTAATTTTACAAGTTTTCACACAAACCAAACGAGTATCGGGACTAGTTGGTCATCGTTTGCAGCTGCCAAGCTAGTTCAATCTAGTCCAATTTTATTAGTTTGCTAACAAGTATAAGTTGACAAAATTCAGGGCCGTCCCAAAAATCAATCCATGCACAATAACATAGAATGGGACTTCAAGACCCAATGGGTGAGTCTCCTTATGTCTTTTTGCTTTTTTGTATCCTTAACTAAGTGCTAACGTTCGAGAATCCCAGGGACGCTGAAGATGCCCATTATTACATGGACCACACACGGTTCATGGGTCGTGATATCGAGGTCGAGTTTACGAGGGGTTACCGCAAAAGTAAGGACACTTCAGTTTCTAAGTTCGTTGTCTTGTGTATTTCTGTAATCACTTTTGGGCTCTTAAAGTCAATAACCGTTGGAATGTATCCCGTTGCATTCCAGCATAGATCATTAGTAAATCACTGCATGCACAGTGGATTGTCAGAATATTCATATACATATTAATGAGTTTCTTACCTGTTACTGATTATTACTTTTTTTGAATCCCTCTTACTAGCTCCTGCTGAAATGCGTCTTAAAGAAAGGCGCGATGATAAGCACCGAGGCGGCAGACGGTATCGATCCCGGTCGCGATCAAGGTAATCTGGATATATTTGGTTACTTTCTAGTCGTAGATCCAATTCCAGACAGAAAGGTGTGGAGCCTTATTATCGAGGCCGACCCAATGACCGCCGAGATGATTCACGAAGACGAGTGAACAACGTCCGTCCTAATAGATCAGCGTCCAGGTCACGATCACCCACCAGATCCCGATCGGCAAGTCACGATGGAATGGACAATGGTGATGAAGTACGTAAAGGGAGTCGGCGCAATGACCGCAGGGATAACGGTGCTGTCTCTCGAAGTCCCACTCACAGACGCGGTTCTGTGTTACGATCCCGCTCCGGTTCATATTGATCATGTATATGCTCTTACTCTAGTTTTATGCAATGCAATGGATACTTTTCGTCAATGCGTATGTGTTTAATTACAATAAATGTCTATGCATGACGATTTAAGACGTTGCTTCGGTCGATATGGCAGGATCGTCGATGTTACAATACCACTCGATTTCTTCACCGGAAGAATGAAGGGCTATGCATTTGTAGAATATCCTTTTTCTGTTTTAAGTGGTTAATTTTACGTTATTATTGCGTTAATATACCTTACCCGTATAAATGTTTGCCGTATTCGTCTCACAGGCACGGCAAATTCAAACCCAAATCACTTCAGCTATTGGTCACAAATGATGGCTCAGTTGCCAATCAGTTTCAAACAGTCAATCAATAGTGATAGGCTCAGTGCATCACTAAATAAACAATCTGTCTAGTTGAGCAAGGTACATGGCAGCACATGAACTTTCAAAGTACTCAGTGTTCAAAATAATAAAATCAATCCAATCCAAAATCAGTTAATTTTACAAGTTTTCACACAAACCAAACGAGTATCGGGACTAGTTGGTCATCGTTTGCAGCTGCCAAGCTAGTTCAATCTAGTCCAATTTTATTAGTTTGCTAACAAGTATAAGTTGACAAAATTCAGGGCCGTCCTAAAAATCAATCCATGCACAATAACATAGAATGGGACTTCAAGACCCAATGGGTGAGTCTCCTTATGTCTTTTTGCTTTTTTGTATCCTTAACTAAGTGCTAACGTTCGAGAATCCCAGGGACGCTGAAGATGCCCATTATTACATGGACCACACACGGTTCATGGGTCGTGATATCGAGGTCGAGTTTACGAGGGGTTACCGCAAAAGTAAGGACACTTCAGTTTCTAAGTTCGTTGTCTTGTGTATTTCTGTAATCACTTTTGGGCTCTTAAAGTCAATAACCGTTGGAATGTATCCCGTTGCATTCCAGCATAGATCATTAGTAAATCACTGCATGCACAGTGGATTGTCAGAATATTCATATACATATTAATGAGTTTCTTACCTGTTACTGATTATTACTTTTTTTGAATCCCTCTTACTAGCTCCTGCTGAAATGCGTCTTAAAGAAAGGCGCGATGATAAGCACCGAGGCGGCAGACGGTATCGATCCCGGTCGCGATCAAGGTAATCTGGATATATTTGGTTACTTTCTAGTCGTAGATCCAATTCCAGACAGAAAGGTGTGGAGCCTTATTATCGAGGCCGACCCAATGACCGCCGAGATGATTCACGAAGACGAGTGAACAACGTCCGTCCTAATAGATCAGCGTCCAGGTCACGATCACCCACCAGATCCCGATCGGCAAGTCACGATGGAATGGACAATGGTGATGAAGTACGTAAAGGGAGTCGGCGCAATGACCGCAGGGATAACGGTGCTGTCTCTCGAAGTCCCACTCACAGACGCGGTTCTGTGTCACGATCCCGCTCCGGTTCATATTGATCATGTATATGCTCTTACTCTAGTTTTATGCAATGCAATGGATACTTTTCGTCAATGCGTATGTGTTTAATTACAATAAATGTCTATGCAGACATCAGAGCTGCATTTATGCCCATTATGCTACATTGCATTCTTTGTTTGCGTTCGAACTTGCTAATTTCAGAAAGTTGTTTATACAAATTTTTCAAATTGATATTCCTAAATACAACTTATGCAACTGTGAACATCAAAGCTCGTTTCAGTTTTCGACTGCGTTTTATAATTTACGTGAGGAATGTGCTTAAAACTGAAGGTACGTAAATTCACTCTATTTACATGTTAATTATGTGCAGTTGTAACAAGTTAGTGATGTATTAAAGTGATGCCAGCACTTGAGAATTGTCTCCACCTTTTTTCGTAAATACAGGTTGTAGTGATCGCATGTCATAGAATTCAATCTCAACAGGTATTAAGTTGGTTATATAGCAGATTTCACGTATGGGAGGCGTTCCCGGAACCTAACAAGTTGCTGCTGAATTTAGATTTCACCAGAACGAGCTAGTGAAAATAAACCTAGCCATGTGCAGCTGTTCATAACTTACTTGAGATTGTCGAAACAAGAAGTTGTCTCCATTACGAGTACCACTGATTTGCCTACCTAAATACATCTGCGGCAGTTAATTAAGCCGCCTGCGCATTATAGGTCTGTATCAGGTCCCTTGAAATAACTGACATCGTTTTGCACGTAATAATTTAAAACGAACTGTGGTATTTTCTGGAGCAAATTTTCATGTGAATGAATAGCCAGAAAAAAGCAGTCAGGCTTCGTTATGGTTGTCATATATATGAAGTGTTTTGTGACATATTGATAGGAAATATGAAACGAAGTGTCAATACTAATTTAGATTGAACATTGGTTTAGCTCACAGAAATAGTGGGAAAAGTACGAATAACTGCATAAGTAATTCCATTATGGGTAAATTTTATTTTGATAAAGTCTCACAGTGTTATACAGTAATATTTACTGATAAAAAAATACAGTGAATATTACTGTATAACTCTGTAAGACTTTATCAAAATAAAATTTACCCATAATGGAATTACACTCAACCACAGTGCCCAACCTAGCTAGCATTTTCTTCGGGCGCACTGCAGACTTTTCGGGGCAAAAAACTTTGGGCGCATTGCCGATCTTGAGTATTTGACCCGAAGACTGCCCCAAAAAGTCTGCAATGCGCCCGACGTCTGCCCCAAATATACACTACAGCCTGGTGCACCGCGCCTACGGTTCCGCATTTAACCCGCAGTCGACAACTAACACTGCGTCAATTCTATTACGTACACAGGTCGCTTCAATAAACAGCAAGTTAGCAGCAGCTCAACGATTCGCGATATAAAAAACTGGATTTTAATTAGAAATACATTTAACAACATTTTACAAGGAATTTACAATCTTTCGGCAAGTCAAATAAGTAAAACATCTTATAAATCAGCCGAAAAAGTCATCCGTGTGCTTTCAGCGTCCGGGATGTTCTCTTTGTTGGTATCGACGGTCATCTGAAAATGGAAGTTTGAAAAAATAAATACCTACCAAAGGTGAGCGCCGTCGCTTTCTTATCCTCGACTGTTATGGAACCAACGTTGAATGGCAGTCATGAGAGCTTTGACTGTGCTATGTCGGTCAGCGGTACCTACTTGTTGTAAACCATTAGTAGTTCCTAGAGAAGCAACAATTAAAAAAAAACAATCACCTACGCCCTCGTATCCTTGAATTGTTTTTTCTGTTTAGTACCAGCCCATGAAAAATGTGTGCTGTAGTTGGGCTCCAGCAACACATTCATTATGCGACCAACCGATGTTTGCACATTGCTGTCTACTAAAGTTGTTAGCTCCGATGACACAGCAAGACGATATTCGTCGTCTGACAGTTTGGCCTCAAACGCAAACATGACGCTGTCGCAGTCCAACTACCATCTGCCACAAGTCTTGTTTGTGAACCTTCAATTAAAGTTTTCAATGTAACTGCCTGCTCGAAATCATCTGAAAAGGAACATTATTAAAAATATGACGTTACTGAATTGTGCCAAAAGATTGAACTTGTAAGGCGTGGAACCTTCATCAACCTCTGCATGTCCCCTGACATCTGCACACGAATACGACTTTGGGAGCATCAAGAACTTTCCAAGTACCCACTCCTCGCTAACAATCAAGACATTATTCAGTGCAGGTACCTTGACTAACAGGAACTGCTTAGTCATCCACAAATAATGTACGACTATTACATACGAAAATAGGTATATAGGAAGAAGGGAAGTCTTGCAAGACGTATATTGATATAAGTGTGCGTATTATAATTTAATCAAGTGAATAAAAAAGTAAACTCACTGTTTGTTTGTATCCTTGATAGGGGTTAACTGTGGCTCACTGTAAACTGCAGTACTAAGTAAATCACTACAGTTTAGAGGTGTGCAATATAGAAATTAAAACGGAGTTATGCAAAAGACTTAAGCTAATGCACTTCGCCCGAATTTCACTGAAAGTCCTAATACTTGTCTCACCCTCCAAGTTGTCTACCTGATAAATTCCAATATCCCTAGAATCCAGTGGGTGTTCAAAATAACTCTGGGGTTTCTTATAAGCTCGAAATCGAAAATGATTTTCGCTTACAATTTCAGAAACAACTCCTGGTATATTATTATTATTGTTCCCTTGGGTTCCTAGTGGAACATAGGGCTTCAACTGCACGCCTCCACTTGCTTCTGTCTTGTACTGTACTTTTCACTTGCATTCATGTTAATCCATACTGTCTCAGTTCCTCATCACACGATCTCCTCCATGTCACCCTTGGACGTCCCACTCGCCGCTTCCCTTTCGGGTTCCACTCGAGCACTGGCCTGACGCGTGATGTCACCCAACGGCCTTCTCAGCGAGTGTCCAATCCATCTCCACTTTCTCCTGCATGTTTATTGGGCGATTGGTTGCTGTCTTGTTTGTTCCCATAGTTTCTTGTTTGTGATTCTTTCCGGCAATCTAATCTTCAGTATAGAACAAAGACAGTTGTTGATAAGGTCTGCAACCTGTTGAAAATATTCTTGGTGACCCGCCAAGTTTCTGATCCGTATAGAAGAACTGACTGACTTGACGTTTGTATTGAAAATCCGAATTTTGTTGTTGATGCTGAGTGACGAAGATTTCCAGATTGGTTTCAGGTTGATGAATGTGTTTCTCGCCTTCGCGATTCTCGATTTGACATCCTCGTCCGTTCTTCCTGTAGTTGAGACAATGCTCCCTAGCTAGATAAGTGAAAGAAGTAACCTCTTTCCCGTTGATGGTGATTGGCGCTGGATGTTGCTGTTGTTGGTTGGTTATTTTCATAACCTCCGTCTTGTCTATGTTCACCTGGAGTCCTGTCTTTGCTGCTTCTTCGACCTGTATATCGGTTTTCGCTTGTAAGTCTTCGATTTTGTGTGACATCAAACATAAATCATCCACGCGCGAAATCCAGGTCTTCTAGGTTCTTCACGTCGGTCCAGGATATCCCTGTCTTCTCGTTTCCCACTGTCTGACGCATAATCCAGTCCACCACAATTAGGAATATCATTGGTGATAATAAGCACCCTTGTCTGACTCCTGTGTTTACTCCAAACGCCTCGCTGAGTTTTCCATTGTGGATCACTTGACATGTGCCGTTGTCGTACAGTTGTTGAATTAGGTTGATGAATATTTGGGGTACGCCGTAGTACTCGAGTAGTTTCCAAATTACTTCGCGGTCAACGCTGCGCTGTCGAAGGCCTTCTCAAAGTCTATAAAGTTGAGGTAGAGATTTGATTTCCATTCCATGCTTTGTTCGATGATAATGCGTAGAGTTGCAATTTGGTCAGAACATGATTTACCTTTCCTGAGTCCAGCTTGTTCTGGTCGGAGTTCTGTATCCAGTGCGTCCTTTATTCTCTCCAGGATGATGCGACTCAGGATTTTACTTGGCGTCGACAGGAGCATGATTTCTCGCCAGTTCTTGCAGAGTCCTAGGTCGCCCTTCTTTGGTGGTTTCACGAGGTAACCTTTCCTCCAATCAGTAGGCACCTTTCTCTCTTTCCAGATCTTTTGCAATAATGGAGTCAGCATATCTGCTGTCGTCTCTGGGTCCGCTTTCAGTGCTTCCAGGGGTATTCCATCTGGTCCAGCTGCTTTTCCAGCTTTCAGAAGCTTGATTGCATTCATGACTTCAGCTTTCGTTGGAGGATTGGTGTCAACTTGCAGTTGTGTACGTGCTGTTGTTGGTATTTCTGGACGAGTTGCAGGTGGTGGTCGATTCAAGAGTCCTTTGAAGTGGTCCGCCCATTGTTTAATCTGTCTTTCTTCTTTAGTAATTGGGTTCCCTTGGCTGTCTTTTATAGGTTTCACTTGTGTTGATCTCTTCCCGGATAGAGACTTGGTTATCTGATATAGTGTCCTTAGGTCCCTTTTGCCCGCTGCCTTCTCAGCTTCAGTGGCCAGGTTGTCGTAGAATTGTCTTTTGTCCTTCCTGGCACTCTTCTTCACTTCTTTGTCCAGTGCTGTGTAAGTTGAGCTCAGCGTCTCTTTCTCTCGTCCGTCTTTGCTTTGAATCATTTTCACTTTCACCATTCTCCTCTCCTCTATTAGCTTCCAAGTGTCCGTTGAGAACCATTCCTTGTCTTGTTTCTTCTTTCTTCCTGAAACCGTTGAACACGTTTCGTTGAAAATTACCTTCAGAGAGTTCCAATGGTCTTCCACGGATGATTCCTCAGTGGTGCCACGTAGTGTTTCCTGCTTTGCTCTGACCGTTGCAGTGAAAATGTCCTGTGTGATTGTGTCCTTCAGCTTTTGCGTGTTGAACTTGCATTGTGGCCTATCCCCAGGTATCCTCGAGGCTTTCAGCTTCACCTTGAAAGTCCCTTGTACTAGATAGTGGTCTGAACCCACATCTGCTCCTCTCCTCGATCTTGTGTCCAGTAGGCTCCGTCTCCACTTCCTTGAGATTGAAATGAAGTCTATTTGGTTTTTGGTGTGTCCATCTGGTGAAATCCATGTTGCCTTGTGTATATCCCTGTGTTTGAACACACTGCCACCAATCACCAAATCATTGAAGGCGCAGAAGTCTGAGAAGAGTTCACCATTTTTGTTCATTTCACCGAGGGCCTCACGACCCATGGTGAGTTCTCTTCCTGTATTGTCTCCTCCCAGTTTCGCATTCATATCACCCATCAGGATTTTGATATCGCTCTTTGGGACGTTGTCCATTACTGTTTGTAGTTGACTGTAGAAATCCTCCTTCTTTTTTTCTGAGACGTTTGTAGGTGCGTAGCATTGAATGGTATATTGCCTACCACAAAGGAATTGTTGGGGGGAAATGAGCTTACTTTAAAAGTGGAAAAAGTTGCAGTCTGTTTAGACACATTTACAGATGCATTAGTAGTCATCTCTGATTTGGCAGAGTCCCCTTCCACTAAGTATCTTTCTCCTAGACGTTTACCTATTTGGACGGCTGGGTTATTGGGACCTGTAACGAGAGTCTGCAGGAAACGTATGTTAGACTCAAATGGGAAGCATGAGAAATTGTCTAGGGGTCCGTGCTGTCGTACATCCTCACTAATATGAAGTAAGCCATAGATATTGTACACCATGTTATCCTCCCCAAATAATGACTTAAAGTTACCTACGAATTTCAACAATAAGTTTTTGACGTCATCTAGGTAATATGAAGAATAAGTTAGGTGACTTAAAATGTAGCATGCCAGGAATAAATCGAAGAAGTTATGATAAAAGCAAGGTGGCAATACGTCTTTCAGGTATATTACTCCTAAATATAAAAGAAACAGTCGGCACTCTGTTGCTTTCCAACGCTCAACGTCCTCTAATGTTCGACACTTACGCTGGAATTCAGAGGGAGTCAACTTATGTAAGCTTAGCAGTCTAGAGTTAACAGTGTTTAAAATAGTATTATTCATACCATCTTCCCTAGCTGTGGCCTTCAATTTTCACAGGCCAATCAACTTTCGAACTACACCTAAGTATATGAGATGCATGCTGTCTAGAGGAAAAACAGTGATCATGTCTATATGCAATTTCTCGAATGGAGATTTACCCTTATGGTGACATTGCAACGTTTGCCTGCGAAAAGCCGTGTCTGTTCTTAAAGCAGCACATGTAGTAGGATAAACCATGCGATTATTTGCACGACGGCATACAGCCTCACATTTATCGAATCCTTGTGTTGAATTGTGACCGCTTATTTGCTTAACTAGTGATCTCGCTGGTGTGTCACAGATGACGCCCTTAAGTACAATGTCAATGCGATGGCTGTTGGGTAATGTGATACCATTAGCACAAATGCATTCTAATTCGACTATAGTGTCCCTCAAAAAAGTGTATACTTGAAGGTTTACATGAACCACAGTAGACACCTACCAAGAATACCTTGTCGCAGCCAGACAAAAGTAACTTCCCTTGTATTGGCCACATCTGCAATTTGGAGTTGTTGAAAATTTGAGCACCATCAATGTTCAGCTGCAGACCAAGTGGCACTGAGACTTCAGATTTGAGAATTTGTAAGCGAGACAAAATCTGACGACGAAGACCAATGTGAACATACATCCCAGGACCAACTGCTCTCCTCTGAAAAAAGTCTTCAGTCCTCATCAATGTCCGAGGGTCAGTCGGCAACTCAGGATGCAGGGACCTAAGTTCTTCCAGCACAATACGAGTATTTGCCATATTCAGCTTGCATCGGTAGACAATGTTGCGAATAGCATCAACTGCAGTGCTCTCGCTGCGGTTAGCTTTCTCAGTTGCAGGCAGTTGTTCAGTCGTTAAGTGTTCCTCCAATGACGGTGGAGATGCAATGGTATCACAAGGAACATCAACTGGAACGACAAGTTGTTGGGGAGTAACCATGTTTCCTGGCGTAATTTCTGGCTGAGGTTCAATTTCACGAGATTTGGAATATAATTCTGTGTACATTAATTTGAAATAACAAGCTTACCTTCTAAATGCTTCTTCCACTCCAGTTTGTATTTCTTGAGACGTCGGTATTACATTGACCTGTATCGGCTGAAGTCAAAGTTAAGTTTCGCTGCTTCGTCACAGAAGATTGATAAATGCAACTTACGTAGTCTCAAATACGCCCGGCGTTGTGGTTCTACACCAGCTGGTGTTATGCTGTCATTTCGGTTATTTAGTGTATTGGTCATGGTTGATGGAGAACCTGTAAAGCTCATTTTACCTATAATAAATCGGAAAAAAATTAAAGAAACTGATTTCTGCAGTCTACACTGATTATAGTCTCCCATTGTATTTCCTTTATGAATGCATATATTAATGATACATTGCATTTACCTATTTCATTACACTTTAATGATTCACCTTTGCACCTTTACTTTTCTAAAACAGCTTACTATTCCTTTGTAAACGTTGTACTTACCTCAATATTGGTTGGTTATCGTATGTCTACAACTACGGGTTGAAAACGAAATGAAGTCGATTTTCCTGCGCAACCTGGAGGACTACGGTTTAAATTCAATAATGATACGATATGGGTCAGACAAAGAGTGTATTTATACATAGATCAAATATTTAGCTGTTCAAACATTACTAACTTGTAGACAATCTACTATTTGACATTGTATCATACTTGATCGTGCCTGTAAAAGTGGCATGCATTTTCATGTAAATTTATGTTCATATGAAAATATAAAATTATTATTATTATTATAAAAATGGGCAGTACTGTGTAATAGTCGTAATATTAAAAACATAAGTATGCAATTAATTACTTCCAAAAATTGGTAAACTAGGAGGTTGGCAAGCACGCAGGGAACTCACCGCAGTGGAAAAACAAACTGAGAATTCAACCGCTTCCAAGGATTCTAGTCCAGTAAAAGACTTCTGATGAAGTGGCCTATTATGATGTATTCAGATAGTAAAAAGTATGTTTAATTGATTGCTCATATTAAATGAGTATATAATTTCAATTTATATATTACTAATCACTAATTCAGATTCATTGTAACGCAGTTTAGCAAAGTTAGCTGTCATTGGTTGATGAAGTACATATGGGTTACTCCCATTGGTTGATTTCTAGCCAATCACCGCTAATAATAACGCCCAAAAAATCTGCAGTGCGCCCTGAGTTTAAGTCGGAATCTGCAATGTGCCCTAAGTCTGCAATGCGCCCGAAATCAATGCTGACTGAGAAGTTTTATTCTTATATCAATGCATAAGTAATTAATGGAATTTGCTTTTAGTCGAATAAGTCATTAGATAATGGGTTAAATCAAAATTTTAAGCGCTAGTATGCTTGTGAATGTAATTTTCACGCAGACGCTGACGCAGCTTTTCGAGGAAGGCGATGGCTGTTCAAGCCTCAAACGTGTTCTAGCCACCTCAATCGGTTCAGCTTCAAAACCTCATCATCGATCGACTTCCCTACCCATCTAACTGAAAGTGTCCACAAGACTGCATACCCTAAGCCGACGAGACTGTTCCATGTCGACAGGTTAATACATCTCTGGAGTTTATCAGAATCGCATGTGTGTTGAGACTAAATACACCTAGGGATACTGGACATCATTTCAGATGACACCTCTTATACGACTGTGTGAGTACTTTGGTTAGTGCGGCATCGCCGTGGAACAATGGTCCTACTTAGTTTACCGAAGCTTAGTAAAAGGACCAGGTTTCAAAGTTATATACCAAGTATTGAGCTAATGAAATATAATTTGATAACGTACGCCGTTGTTGACGACATCAAAATCCATACATACGCGTCACGTTAACTTTTACAATGGTTTGCCTGGCTTTTATCCACCATGCTGGGAGCAGAAACTGGTTGTCACTGCTTAAATATGGAAGTGCATTCAGCTGTTGGAATAGATATTAGTTGTTCAACTAGCAAGAGCTATACACGGGTAGGGTCCACGCGCTAACACGAGTGAACAAATGAGCTGTTTAGTTCAGCCCATACCAAGAAACGAAGCTTCCGATAAATTCAGGTTTTTGGATAAGTGTCGTCATTAAGGGGGTCTATTAAAGCCTATCTCTTAACTGAGCAACAGTTTTCACCTGATATTAATTAGACAATCTCTGCATTACAGTTAAATATCTGCTACCGAAATATCTCAATTTATTTGATAACAGTTGAGATTTGTCGTTACAAACATCCAAAGCCTCAGGATGGTCGGGGGTGGGTGCCTTGCGCTGCGGGTTGGCCACCCCTCTTGAAATGCTCCCATATGACCGGGCGTCTCACATAGCCTCTCCTGAGGAAGTCCTACTCACTGCCTTCACGTGGCAGAGGTGTTTTCACCAAAGTGAGAGGGCGAAAGCGGATGCCCGGCGCTCTTCACCAGGTTGACTGTCCATTGGATGACAGTCTAGGGGAGATGGCTAAACACTGATTCCAAACCTCCAACGACTGGCGTATGAAGCTCACCGGCAGACGTATGGACAAAGGGCTTGTTGGATGTCCTGGATGTCTGGCCCCATTCAAAAAGGCGTATGAACCGAACTCCGGTCACCGGCTGCCAATGGATAGTGGACTCCCTACTCCACTCCTACTGCCTTGCAGGTCACACTTGGTTGTGTAAAGGCTAGAGCTGCACTCTCAAACAAAAGGCCGAGCGATTCTGGGGACATCACTCGTACCAAATTCCCATGAAACTTCATGAACTCTCTTACAAACGACTCTCACCATGCTACGGCATTCCCAGTAAGCGACGCGCCCTGTGCTCACCCGGTGGCCAGTTTGAAAAGTAAGCCTGGGCAGCGATGATTCGAGATGTTCATGAAGCCGGCTCATCCTCCCGTAGGAGATAGCCGAAGTAAAGAAGAAGAAGATTGTTGTGATATCAAATAACGTTTGTTAAACGGTGTGTTCACACTTCATGAATCACTAAAGAGTACAGTCAATTGTACAAAGCTAAGCACTTCAGAAAAATCACCTTTCAAATTGTTGAAGCCGAATCGTTTGCGACAAAATAAGATGTTACATACTAGAGGTTGATATGACTAGTTGGAAAACGCTCGCGTCAAACACCTTCGCTCGCCCCCAGTCAGATCAAAGCGATTTTGACATCGGGCGACCATTCAATGGACTCAATGAACTTAATCACCTTAAACCACTGGAATCCTGGTTAACTTCCCGGACTAACTGGTACTGCATAGAATCTAATTCACCATTCGCAGACAACACAAATCTTCCGAAGGATCTGTGGTATATAGTCTTTACTGAAAATGAAAACCTAACCAGTTAGTCGTATATTAGGTATAGAGACAAACCAATTTTGAATGTCGTAATTTAAATACCATACATATCTGACAACTTTATTTCTCACATATGTTCCTATATCAATACAAGTGACTGGTAAAATTTGTTAAAAATATTCTAGTCTATACCTTGCTTAAGTAGAGATTTTAAGATTTAACCTGTAGTGATTTCGTAATCCTATCAGAGTATTAAAGCCAATTTAGTAAGTGTACAACTAGTATAAACATGATAGACATGACTTTCAGCTTGAAAGAACACTTCCGATTTATATCTCTTAACATAAGAAAAGTAAGCATATGTTTCTGATCATTTATTTGTGCAAATAATTAACGAAAAGAAATCACTACCCTGTTGCGGTAATTACATAATAAAAAAAGAAAATGTTATGGTATGTGTGTTTCAATAAGCTGAATAATGTGGCTGAGATTTTGTAGGGAAAATATCAGAAAACTCCTAGAGGTGTCAGCGATTGATCCAGGAAACGACGTTTACCAAAGCACAACCACCACTGTTTAGATTAAATAAAAAAAAACAATAAGATGCCAGTAATATATATGCTACTGAATAAAAATAATAGTAAAACTGTTTCGTTGATAAGAATAATGGCTGGAAATACTAGCTTCAAACTTACACCAGACTACAGAATATAGTCGCAGCATACTTTCGATACCGAATTTACCAAAAGGATTTAAATTTACGGCTGATTAACACACTTTTATAAATAGACTGTAGCTGTATTTTCACTGTTACTCACTTTTATTTGTAGTTTGCTTTTAATTGATTCCAAAGTCTCATATTCTTTTTTAATTGGCAGTGATTTGGTTAACTTAAATTGACTTACATATGTATAAGATTGTTTTGTGTGTCCCTAATAGCCAATTAATTTCAAATATTCGCAACAAGCATCCCTTTCAATTATCTGTGGCATTATTGCTCTCTGACATGAAAACAAGTGTATATTCGTCATCCAGACGAACTTCTGATGATAATTTTATATTAGGTGTAATTAATCAGTCGATAGCCTCCTCCTCTAAAACAGGACATATGCATCCACTCGACCAACCACCATTCTATTATCAGCAGCTTAGCCCTGCTGCTGAGTTTTCAATTGCCTTCTACATATCGTTCAAAATTATTTCTTTTATACTTTTAAATAGTGTTATCAGACATAATATATCTGAGCGACTGCATGAATTGTTTCACTAGTCGACATCCACTATCAGTGGTTAGTTCGTTAGAACTAAGTTGTGCTTACAGCAGATAATTTTACGGGGCGCATTTAGTGTGCGTTGATCATGCATTCTTAGTCTATGTTAACGTTAAGTAGAGTAGACTCAGAAACTAGAACCTATTGAATGAATCTCAAGTTTTTGAGTAAATGAACTTATTGTCAAAATGACATTTTTACATGTAGTGTGGTTAACAGGAGGACTGTGTGTGTATTGTGTTCAGGATAGAAAAAAATGAGAAGTAAGACTGTAATATTTTTTTTCCCTCACGTTCCCCAGTGGAACATAGGGCTTCAAGTTAGTGGCTTGAAGTTTCTGTAGCAGCGTTTATTTTTACAGGATGGGGTTGCTAGCCTCATGCCCAACCTTCCCTCTTTACCAGCATTATTTCTGGTTTAGCGAGGTAAAGGAGTGCGTCGGCCGGGGAGCGAACCTCGGACCATGTGCATGGTCGGCGAGCGTCCTAGCCGCTATGCCACGCACGTAAGACTGTAATATGCAAATATATAAACAGAATAGTAAGTACGATAAAAAATGAAGTAAGAAAACGAATAAAATGAAAAGATGTTAATAATCTCAGGCATAAATTAACTTATCCTGATATTCCCAAAAAATAAATATTTTTTCTATTTTACAAAACAAAAGAATATTTGAACAATGAATGTATTCTTTTCGATAATTTCCCCTTCCGGCTCTACAATTATATATATGCTTATATATAAGATCAAAAAGATTACAGTTCAAGAAAGAAGCATAAGTTATAATAAGCATACAGATGTAATAGTAAATAGAATATAAAATAAAATTAAGGAAATCTCTACAACAAATCAGTGACCTACAAAGAGCGTTCAGTGCTGCTGTGTCTTCAAAACCACTCCTATTTTGCGTTCGGGATTTAAAGATAAACTACCTAACTTCGCCTCTTCTATGTGTATCTATCGGTCTGACTGCTCCTACGGAGCCAGTTATACATAGGCCGTACAATTGGGCGTGTTTATCATCGGATTTCCGAACACTACCCTGCGTGGTTAAGTAAGAGAGAAACAAAGTCCATTCATAGTTCTATACTGTCTCATCTCGTAGATATACAACACGAAATTGATGTAAACAAGGCCTTCAAATTTACCTATCATATACCAACCAACCTTAGCTTCACCTCAATAGTTCGTCTGTTACATATTACTAAGACTCAGAATCTACATTAAGCCTAATCTACGTATCCAAAAGAAATTGGTTCAGACTACTTTCCTTACCTTGACCAATCAAGGTTTTAATGGCCCTTAATTTGTTTCATAAAAAATCCAGTAGTTCAGCGAAGAGTCTCTTTTCGGCGAATTCATTTTTACAGCTAGACAATCGCAAATATATATATGGTTATTTTGTATGTGTGTGTAAATTGAATTTGTCAAACGAAAATACAATTAGTAAGTTCAGGTGAATTAAGTGTTGATATAAGAGAGTAGAGATAAAAGTGATGAGTTGTCACAAACGATTGTTAAAGAAGAGTTACGTAATAACATGAATAGTTTGATGAAAGAGTTGTACTCAGGGTGTACATGGAAACAGAATATACGGAATTACACAAGGGTTTTAAGTAGAAAAATAAGCACACAAACAAAAGTTAAGTCAAACAAACAAACAAAGAAAAGTTAAGTCAAATCAACACAGTTGTTACCATGGGAGTAGAAGTGGTTGAATAATTTTCTTTTGTATGCACAGTTCTGGTTCCTCTAGCTTAATGGCTAGGGCTTCTGCGATGCAAAGAAGACGGAATCGTACTGTCTTTGGAAGGTTGTTCTTCACTTTGTTCTTTACTTGTTCTTTGTTCTTCACTTTACTTTGAAGGAGGCGTTTGTTGAGATGGAATGACCAGTGTTGACGAGGTGTTCTATTATTGCACTCCTTATGCAGCCATTACTTCCTTTCTGCAGCCACGCTGGATAGTGTTCTTTGACCCTTTTTGGTAGGATACGCGTTGAACGACCGATGTACCTGGCTCCACAACAACAGGTGAACTGATATATACACATAGAAGTGGTCAGGTGAGGGATCTTGTCTTTTGGGCTTCTGCAGATCAGCGGGCGACTAGAGAACACCACTCTCAATGTTGCCGCAAAGAAAGTTCTTCTTAAAGAAGTGGAGATTCTTCTTCTAAGGACGTCACTGAGTAGGTCTCCTTTGAAGTCGAGGTTCTGAATTCTTTTTATATTATATAACTCCATCAAAAACTTACTAATTGTATTTTCGTTTGACAAATTCAATGTATAAAAACAAAATAATTGAGCAAAGAATATCCTTTTCGATAATTTCCTCTTCTGGCTTTACAATTATATGTATGTTTATATACATAGAATATTCTAGAATAGTAGTCAATAAAAATATTAGTGCTTTTTAAATAATATCAGTTTGTAAAGTATGATCAATGGAATTACAGTTCATTAAAGAAGTTTAAATTATAATTGCTATTGTATTTTTATTATTATTATTAATATAATTTAAGCATCTTTAGTGAACTGTAATTCCATAGATCTTACTTTACAAATTGGTATTATTTAAAAAACACTAATATTGTTATTGACTACTATTTCAGAATACTATATATATATATATATATATATATATATATATAGTTGTAGGGCCGGAAGAGGAAACCATCAAAAAGAATATTCTTTGCTCAAATTTTCCTTTGTCTTTTAAATGTCTGAATATTTTCTTTTTTGTTATCCTGTTTAAATGTCTGATAATTTTTCATTACAAACTGAAGAGAAATTTAGTAAGTCAAGCAGGACTTAATTTCAATTTCATGCTTATTTCACACTCAAAAGGTGTAATACCGTGCTTCCTTTATATTTATCGTGATGTTCTTAGAACTCAGTTACTCGAATCAGCCTTTTTCATGAACCAGACTATGAAACACTCATTGCAATAACATTCAGCTGCTCAAGGCTGAAATAATTGGTGGTGAGACCAGAAATAATGAGTCATTATTGACCAATAATCGGGTGCTGAGAACAATATGCAATTAATCCACGGAACAATCCTTTATGTTTAAACTGAGCAAGAAAGGACTCGAAGTGAACTTGTTTTTATGAGTCAAAACACTCAATTAAACCGACCATGCACATGGTCCGGGATTCGATCCCCGGCCGACGCACTCCTTTACCTCGCTAAGCCAGAAATAATGCTGGTGAAGAGGAAAGGTTGGGCATGAGGCTACCAACCGCATCCTGTAAAATAAACACTGACTCCCTATGTTCCACTGGGGAACGTGAAGGAAAGAAAAAAAAGAAAAATTACCTTGTTTGGCGGACTGTTGTCATCAGAATACACTTTATCTATTAAGCGTACACCCAATTCCTGCCTTAGCTGAGTAAGATAACCACGCATTGTTTCCAATTCTGTAGAGTTCTTCGGTTTAGCATACATATTGTTCAGTTCTCGGGGGAAATCTGGATCACCTGGTAAATCAAAACGGCTGATAGCCATAGCAGCCAATTCTTTTCCTGCAACAATTCTGTTAGGACACTATAAGGAATGAGTGAAGAGATACTTAGTTAATTCGTTCATTTATGTAAAATAAAAAATCTGGAAAAAAAATCATAAAATCTACTAATTAAATGCAGTAAAATTTATGCATAAAATATTAATAAAGAAATGAGCTCTTGGCGTTAATTCGTAAGGGATCTCATCTGATGATACGTATATAATAAACTTAAATATGATGAAGTGACTACTAATGACAGTTTCTAACTTGATTCTTACTTCATCCCAAACATTCACAATAGGCAATAAAACTAGACAGGTGTACATGCATACACTTATTAACTTTTACAACAGTATGCAATAACACACACACACAAATGTGAGTCAAGGGACACTAAAACAATTATTTTGCAACTGTGACTTCACCTAGTTTAAATTCAGTGACTTTATTTATATTTATCATGAATAAAACTGAATGGCCGTTGACGTTATATCATGGAGTTGTGCACAGGTGTATATATCCCTTACAAAATACAATTACATTTTTCTATGCAACCAGATTTACAGAAACCATTGCAAAATTATCTAAACACACTTGGATTATTCCACATAATTTTACAATAATTCTATCTTGCTCAATGTTGAAACAATTAAAAGAAAGAAAAATTCAACACATCTGTATTCTGGATATTTATAATCGTACAAAATCTGTGTTTTCTAAAATTCACCATCCATCATATTCCACTGGATATTGATCTAGAGAATCTAACTCTAAATGACCATAAATCACATGAATCCCAGTCATTACTTTTATGTATTAATGCTACACACCATTATAACTACGTGTGTGACAATTCAAGGTTGTTTTCAAAATTACATAATAAAAATGATCACATTATGAAATTGGAATGTTTATTCACATTTGGGTTAGTAAGTAATTATGAAATGAACTAATGAATGCTAATCTAAGTCAACAAGATTATTCCCTGGTAACAAGTCGATCCATTAGAACATCTATGATGAAATTAAACAGAAATGGGGGGAAGTGGGCATCCCTGACGGACACCACTTCAGATGATAACTCTCCATTGGCTCTCATCTAGCTGCACGAGTAGAGTACCTTGATTAGCGCGGTGTAATTTCATAGCATTCCTTACACGGCTACATGGACCGATTGCCTCTAATATGTCTAGTACCATTTCGAAGAGTATCAAGATGGCTAGTCGCATAGCTTGATAAACAAGTTGCACACTGGACTAGGAATATAACACTGGTAACCTACATCCCGGTGGCTAATCAATGTAGAACTTATAATTATTACCCCGTGAATTCATAACTATTTTCAAATTAATCGGTAGAGCAAAACTAACCTTTTGTAATTTTCTTAAGCATTCCAGGATGTACAGAACCAAGTAAACAAGTACACGATCGGCTTCACTCTAAACACAAGAAAAACAATTATATTAGGCATAGAGGATTTTCAAAAGTAACAATACAATATCAATGTAAAAGAAAGAATAATTCGTATTGTCTCCCACTTTTTGTCATCATTTATGCTTAGTAGTTAATAAAATATTCTAAGACACTGTGAATAACAGAAAGATACACAAATTATTTGTAAGTCATTCTTATAACATTTTCTTTAGCAAAAGAAATAATAGTTCCTATTAGCTGTCTAGTCTGCAGCCAAATCAATCTACTCTGCATTACATCAATCTATGGCACCAAGCTATTTATAATAGGAAACTTGACCGTTCTTGCTGGATACAATGTCTGCATAAAAAATCTAGGTAATGCTTTATGTTGGTGGTGGTGGGTTTTCTTTTTGGGTTTGTTTAAGAAACAAAATAATAAACTAATTCCCATATTGGTTTTTGCAAACAACTGACTGTTGGTATGAATTCTGGGCTGACAGTATAAGATATTTGTATGGAGGATTTTATCATGAGCTGACATCAGTTAGAGAACCACTGGAAAACCTGGGAGTACTGGACAGCCAACTGTTTCGTCCTAGTTTGGGACTCTTCAGCAGTACGCGCCCACCGGGATCCGAACCCAGGACCTTCTGGTTACAAGGCGAGCTCGTAGACCATTGAGCCACTGGGACCCGCGCGCTATGTCGTGAATTGGCAGAAGTTAGAATTCAAGGACCATTGGATCGGGTCCCAGTGGCTCAATGGTCTACGAGCTCGCCTTGTAACCAGAAGGTCCTGGGTTCGAATCCCGGTGGGCGCGTACTGATGAAGAGTCCCAAACTAGGACGAAACAGTTGGCTGTCCAGTACTCCCAGGTTTTCCAGTGGTTCTCTAACTGATTTCAGCTCATGATGAAATCCTCCATACAATTAAACAAAATCCCTACCAAACCAATACTTGAAAGTATAAGATATGTTGATACGATATTCTAAGACAGGATTAGATATGCCCACATTATTGCCCACCCATATCCCTGTTTGAATGACATAACAAGATGTCTCGCACCATCATGAGAATTATGGATCTCAAGCTGATAAAAATTACTATTAGAATCTTTGATCCATTTACATACACTCAATACGAAGCTGTACTCAATGCTGAGTGCTGGGTTTATTCTCAGCTCAGTTCGGAAATACAACAAAAATACTTCTGTTTTCATCTAAAATTCCTTACCTTCCCCGTTGGACATAGGGTCTCAATGACATACGTCCATTGCACTCGGTTCTCTCATATTACTTTCAACCAGTTTCCCGACTGTCCACAAATTCCCTCCTCCTTCCCCATATCACCCTCGAACAATAGCCCGACTTGTCACTGAACATTCCGGTCCCACTTGAGTTTGTGTAAACCACTTCAGGGTTTACATGATGATGCATAACGTTGATATTTGATCTGCACATGACTTGTTCTTCCTGAATTCAGCCTGTTTAAGGCGAAGTCTCCTATCCATGCCATTTCTTCAGGATGACGTGGCTTACTACTTTCCTCGAAGTAGATAGAAATATCATTGTGCGCCCATTCCTACAAAGACTTAATTCAGTCTTCTTTGACAGCTCCACAAGGTGGCCTTTCTTCCAAACAGCCACTAGCTCCCCTTCGCCCCATATCCTGTAGTAATGGCGTGACCATATCTGTTGTGGTCTCTGGGTCCGTTTCCAGTCCTCCTGAGGGGTCCCGCTTTTTTCCAGGATCTACCTCATCTCCTTTAGCACTAAACTTTCAGCTAGTGCTCTTAAGTTCGAATCCCACATCACCCAACTTCACCTAGGTGACTGTGTAGCATCATCACTCCTCAAGCAATGAATGTGCCTCATAGACTGGTAGATCAAATATTTATTCTGGATAACTGAATTTCTAACTAAAAGTCTAGCATCCCAGATGGCCACGGAGTCAGGTTTGCTCATCAATCACCTATCCAATGATTAATTTTCAACTTTGCACACTATTGATTTGAAAATGTAGCTCATATGTACTGGGAAACCACGCAGCCTAGTTACCACACTGTATACAATAAATATGATTTACTAAGTTACACACAGGGGATTTCAATCTAATAGTTTGGACACCAGTCATTCGACAGCAACATTATAAGTTGAATGTCGGCTTCGGCTAAAGAAGTAGTAGGTTAATAAAAAAATGTCTCATAGTTTGTGCTATTCGTAGCAGTACAAGAATATTAATTTTTTCTACCACTTCATATGATAATTAAAATATATATTTTGAAGATATAAGAAATTAGATGATACAATTACCAGCAAGATGCTTATCGATTAGAAACAATAAATTTAACTAACTCATCAAATTGAATGCTTAACCTAATAGAGGACTATTTCTCAATGCCAACATATTTTATTTATTCAACATAATCATACACTTCTATATGTTTCTAACTCGAATATGAGGTAGATTAGCACACAACTACTGTCAGCGTATGCGTGTATGAGTGACTGTTTTTTCATAAAATTTTGAAGCCCGCATTTAAATACACGCATAAAATGCCGAGTTTTCTATCTTTTTCTATATACGTATTTAAGGAATCATAGAAATAGGTAAAAGACACTGAGATGAACGAGAAATTTAAACAAAATCGTAAACTGATTCAAAATAGATTGTTTAAAACTATTTTTACCGCCTACATTAAAGCGAAGAATTGATCATCTTGCTTAGTATAATGCTGAGCCTATCAGGATGTTGCGCATAGACGGAAAATAAAGTGCAATTTGAACAATGTCAAATGACCACTTGGTAAATAACTAAAATTCGTTATTCTTTAGCGGACTCAAATTAAAGCGAATTCTTTAGAGAACAAGACTTCGACAACATGCCCAATTACTTTACTTCTTACATTTGGAGTAAGTACTAAAGCGGATTAAAACAATATTTTTGTTTTCTCAAGAATGTTTAAACTGTGCTATCCAGAATGCAGACTAGACTATGAGTTATATGCATTGTATGATGGCTGATGATACTACTGAGTTGTGTCCAGGCTGAAGTAGGTGATGAGGCATTCAAACTCGGGGCTTATTAACTGTAGGTCAATCATAAGCACCGCCACTTTACAAGAATGGCAAAACATGTCAACTACTTCACATTTGTGTCTAAGATATTAACAAAATATTATTTTATTATTTATCATCTGAAGCCAAAGAGTTACTGCTTTGTTCAACGACACATGAAAATGCCACTATGCAAAGTAGAAAAGGGTAGTTTTAACAATTTTAGATCTGTTAAATGTTATTGTTCAAAATGCTTTGAAGGAAAGGAAATCTGTTTACACACTGGATCATCCAACTACTACTTGTCTATCATGCATTCCGAAAATCGTATTCACTAATGAAGCTAACGCACATTGAAAGGAATTACTTCATCAGCTTGCTCAACAATACAGGAATTTTATAATAAGAATAAATAGCCGAAGGTTTCAAACTGAAATTAAACGATTAAAAAGGTTCTCGTTAGAACGACTTTCATTCATGACAGCATGAAATAGTACTTATTTAACTACGAAGTTAAATAATGAGCTTTAGGTATCCTAATCCACTATTTACCCTTGACTCCGTTGAAAGGAGCAATGCCAGGAAGTCTTAAATAGCTTCCATTGATCTTTTGAAATGTGAAATACAGTCATGAATTGACAAAATTGAGTCTGTGTCTTAGGCCAAAGCAATTTAACTGTTACATAGTGATCGGCTGATAGGATCAGGGTTTTTTTGTGAATCCCAATGATGAATACAGGAAATTGATATTACACTTCATAGTGTCAATTAGAAATGACAAATCAACAGAAAGGCATAGCATATCAATTTTATGATCAACACTTTGTAGTATTCTTCTTTCTTTAGCAAAAACGTGAATCACCATAGGATTTTCGCAATCTAAAGTGACTGTATTGCTGATACGATCCCGCATAAAATAGTATATTATCTTTTCTCACAAATGTTGTGAGTGATTATGCGATCAATCATTTCTCATGGCTGTGAGCAGACCTCAGTGTTGCAAAACTGTATAGATATCATGTGTCGTTTTCCTAATAAATGTACAGTACAGTACCTAACAGTCACAGGCCAGCCTTTGTCTTTTAATATTTGCGTGGCTCAGTGAATCGGAAGGGACAACGGGCAAATAGGCATATTAGGGTACCAGTCGAGTTCATTACCTTTATTACCAATTAGTAAGCGCAGACATAACAAAGTGGAGATGGGTTTATTCACTTCAGTGAAGTTATAACAATTGCACAAACTATACTAAAGGTAAGTTGCAAGTATACATGATAGCATTTCAAATATATTGACTTTATTTATTTAAAAAGTTGCATCAACGTAAGTAGGTTAACTGCCAGTGGGCTCCAATACTCCGAAAAACGGAAATCCTGAATGCGATCAAGCTACTGAATTTCAGCTGCGAAGGCAGCATAGCCAGACGGAATTCCCTCCGAAGCACTGAAAATGCACCCTGAGACTGCGGCAGATATGCTGACGCCATCATTGCAAAAGGTCTGGGAAGAAGGAAAAGTGACTACTGATTGGAAGAAAGACTGCCTTGTCAAGCTACCAAAGAAAGACGACTTAGGTCTGTGAAAGAACTGGCGTAGAATCATGCTCTTGTCCACGCCAAGTAAAATACTAAGTCGCTTCATCCTGGAGAGAATAAAAGATGCACTCAGTGCAGAAATCCGCCATCCACACTGGAACAAGCTGGATTCAGAAAAGGCGAATCATGTGCTGATCAAATTGCAACTCTGTGCATCGCCATCATCATCACAGAACAAAGCAGAGAATGCCAGTCGAACCTATCTCTACCTCAACAACTTCATCGACTTCGAAAAGGCCTTAACCTGACAGCGTTGACCGAGAAGTAATTTGGAAACTGCTTCAACACTACGACGTGCAGTGCCCAAATCTTTAACAATCTCATTCAACAGCTGCCTATATGACAATATCATGTGTCAGGTGATCCACAGCAGGGAACTTAGCGAGGAGTAAGACAAGCCGGCTGCCCGCCTATTGTCACCCACGATGATATTCTTCATTGTGGTGGACTAGATTATGCGTCAGACTGTGAACATGGAGTGAGAAGACAGGAATAAACTGCACTGACCGATAAGAAGACTTGAGAAGATCTGGATTTCGCAGATGATATGTGTCTAATGTCACACAAAGTGGAAGACTTGCAGGCGAAAACCAATAAAACTGGCTGGTTGAAGAGGCAGCAAGTGAACACAGAGAAGACGGAGATGATGAAGATAACCAAACAACCAACAGCGACAACAACAACAACCGGGGTTACTTTCTTCTCTTATCTTCGAAGCATCGTTTCAACTACAGGCGGAATGGACGAAGATGTCAAAATGAGAATCGGGAAGGCAAGGTACGCTTTCATCAACCTGAAACCAGCTTGAAAATCTTCTGTACTTCGCCTCAGCATGAACAACAAGATTCTCATTTTCAACACAAATGGGAAGTCAATCAGTTCTTCTATATGGGTCAGAAACTTGCACTGCGTGCCACGAAAAGGGTCACCAACAAGTTACAGACTTTTATGAACAGCTGCCACCTTCGCTGACTGGCTCCATACTGAGGATCAAATGGCCAACCGACCAGAAAGAATTAGCAACAAGAAACTCTGGCTGAGAACGAACCAAGAGCCGATTGCTCGATAAATATGTGAGAGAAAGTGGAGATAGATCGGGCACATACTGAGGAGACCGTCGAATGAAATCGCGTGCAATGCAGGCTTGCCCAAAATGTTTATCTACGATGTTCACAAGACATCACGATGCTAATCAGGAGCTACATGTACTCTCTATGAAACATCGCAGCACATACCAGGAATGAACTAAATACCCAAAATGATTTTTCCTGGCTGCAAATTTTTTTAATTTCAGCGTTTATAGGATTTCGCATATATCTGAGAATGGCTTTGCGTCACTCTTATTAAACAGTCGATCTTTTTTCACGAGAATAAATTAATTCTTAGGAGTAAAAATTTGTCACGCACTGCTAAATGATTATATCGATATATCCGTTGCATTACCTGAGCTTTCCTATGTTTCTTGCCTAGATAGCAAGATTTTAAGCAACCGTCTTTAAATGCTTTTAAAACTCCGGAAAATAAAGATGAAACTATGAATGTTAGTTCACTAGTGTAAACTTGAAGACTTTTTTTTTTACTGCATACGACAGAAAAATATCAAAAATACTTATGAATGACAAAAGTAGAAACTAAAAAATGAATCTTACTTTCAGTTTATATTGTCGAAAAAATATAAGTGATTTGAACAAATATAGTGCTTCATCAATAATATCTTTCTCTAAACTTGGATTCATAGGTGCAGGACCGCAGAACTTTGTACGTAAAGGTAACAGAGCCATATTTCCCACGGTGTTTGGTGCAGGCACAAATTCTGAATGATACACCTTAAGAAGTAAATAAAAAATGCACCTAAAGACTGTAAGTTAAATTTATGAGAAATAAATAAAAGGATTTGTCGTAAACGAACCGAACAACCAAACAAAGTAATAGTAGAATGCTGTCAGTCCCTTCCACTAATTGCTATCTAACCCTGAAAATAGGCAAAATGTGCCCAAATATGTCCAGTGTTTGGTAGGAAATTCCATATTTGTACCAAAAGTACTGTTTGGAATAAAGCTATTATTATTACTAGGAAATAAAACAAACTATGAAGTAATCTGAACGAATTCCATCAATATCTCACACTTTATCGACTAGAACTGGCTGGTTCAAACATCTAGTGTATCAAAGGACTTTAGATAAAAGCATTAGCGATGTGGAAAGCAGAGAATTTATAAGAGGAAAAAATTAAGAGGAGGAACAATAGGCAGGTGGAAGTGCATTGGCAATTAATATCTTGCCACTACCAACCCCATAGATGCTAACTTCTTCGAATACCCTAGAAAAAAGTATGGTTTGCATGATCGAACAGCTCCAGGAACGATTGCCTGAGGCCTGTCATACGGAGAATGTCCCGGCATTATGATTCCTGGAGTGTGCCCGTAAGGGAAACTTGATGATAGAGTACAGGACAAAGTACAGTCGGGACACCCAGATTCCCATCTACCGCTGTCCTCCTTCCCGTCAGTGTAATTCCGCTGCACTCAGAGCCTCACTATAGTGAAAGAAACAATGAGACGGTAACTGCTGCAATCCTGATAATGTGAAACCATCAGAAAGGATCACTGTAACCAGTATAGCACTTTGGAAAACTGAAGTCCGACGTAACACATGTCTTAGCCATCGCAGTCGATGTAACTTCACATCCTCGTCAATGGATTTCTCCTCTTTACAACTGCGAACAATATATACTGCAGTTTTAAAACTAATTGTTACACAACACATAGTTTTATGGAAATATTAAAGTTGTTTGTTAGGAAAGGTGAAAAGGGTTCATCTCCTATCTCCTGAGACATTTAACGTACCTTTATTGGACAGAAAATCCCCTGATTGTGTAATTCTGGTTTATTTCATTTTACCATTGTCTAAAATGCATATGATAACCCCATTTATCACAATCTCTAATGTCTAGAAAGTTGCTCACAATTATACAGTAAACACTGGCTTTCCATTACAGCTGAATATAATTTATAATCATATATCCTACTACCCAGACATGAGAATTTCTCGCATATATATTTCCGTTATTCTTCTGACTTATGAATAAAATAAGTGAGGCTGAACTATCTGGTAATCTAGGTATTCACTTTATTCTGCGAAAACTGTAGTTCTCGCTTTATTCAGTTTCACTTAGCGTTTATCCTTATGAACACATGAGCTACAATCAGTCATTTCTTTCTTACCTTTACACGTACTTTTATGAAGTATGACAAACTACATTGCTGCACCTTTGTCCAAAGTCCCAAGCTGGAATTTCAGTTGACAATCACTGATTAATTAGGAAGCCAAATAATTCCACAGCCAAAAGTTCACTCAAGCATTTACAGTGAACATTTCTAACCAGCCAATTTTTGGAAAACACTTTGTTAATATAGACTGACTCAATGAAGACCAAGAATGGGTTAATCCACGATGAGAACTATGCTCGGCTCGAATATAACAAACGTAGGAGTAAGATTCTCACCACCAAATAGACACCTTATATCACTGAGGTAAGTCTCTTAACTAGAAGCTGAGTACATATATAGTTCACTTATTTTTAATTCAAGGGGTTTATGCGTGTTTCTTACCTTTTGAAAGGTGCGAAAGTAACAGGTCATGCCACTGAAATCATTGGTCTAGATAGGCTGGAATTCTATAGTTACATGTCTGCCTAATTCCAAAAGGAATGTAGATTAATGAAAAGCCAGTGAATACACGCTGTCCTCCTACCCAGATCTATTTCCCCTTTCAGATATTCTTACAAGTTTATTGTATCGTAATGTCCTTACGTATTAAGTCAGTGCAAAATATATTGGCGACAAACTTACTCAAATTGGTCACTAAGTCAGAAGTTATCTTGCGTCCTGAGAAATATGCCGCATAATATTCAAACCTTGTTCTTGATGGTAGACACTCTGCCACGTATAAGCATTTCTGGTCCTACTTCTGCTTAGATGCTAACTAAAACCTGTTTGACACTACCAATACCGTTTACTGTAACCCAACAGGTAATAAGGGTGACCACAGGAGACCATCGGATTGGCAGCTTGAAACAGTTTTGCGTTTTAAGCTACCTATCATGCAGATATAATGATTTTGATCGCTAGCGAGATTATGGCCGCTCAAGATGACTAGTTTCTCGAAAGAAGAATAATGTTTCTAGCTAGCGCCTTTCTACGTGTGAAAGTATTGTTTTTATTTTAGACTAGTTTCGAATTACGCAGATCCTATACTCTGAAGTCACACGATTCTCAAAAAACCTATCCAAAAATCGGCGATGGAAAACAAGCATCAAAACGAACAAATACCACCTCTAAGCACATTTTTAAATTAATCATGCGGCGAACTTCATTTCTGCTGCATAACCAAGATATCTAAGATCACTATCACACCACCCAATAACTGTAATTACAGATCATCAATAGAGTGAAACAGAATAGTAAGCACACTAGAGAAATTAGGAAGTTCACAATGTTTTCTCTATACTACTGACACCATATATATGAAGTGACAAAGCTTAAGCGCACACAACTTCGATTTTCTCACAGGGTGGTCAATAAAACAAAAATGAAACGTTTTAAGTCTTTGTATCCTGATGAGTTGCACCCTCGATTGTCACTCACTAACCGATGCAATTCATATACCACTCACATTTATTACGTATTGTCCTCACACCATACTGCTTAGGGGGCAGGATCATAGACGTATGTCAAGATTTCAACGACGAAAAAGGAATTATTTAGCAACTTCCATATTATTTGCTAAGATATTACGAAAAATAATGGCGAATTAGCAACCAATGTAGAAAAACATAGCTTTTTGGTAGCAGAGCAGAAAGGATTATGGCCTAAGCGGTATCTCACGAATTAATTAATTTCCACATCTTCGAATATCAGATGTTACAAGTTCAATTAAATTAGGATTAACGCTTCAGAGTGACCTAAGTGAATCGACCAGATAATCATTACGTTGGTGCATCGACATCCATTCTACCTAAAGTGCAGTGGTATACACTGGCCAAGTGCCTTATTCACTAGATGATTTAGTGTTGCTTTAAGTAAGAAACTATTAGGATCGCATGGTGCAGACTGCACGGAATAATAGGCCGTCATTAGAACGTTCGGGACACCACAGGTGCTCTGCACAGCCTTAGGAGGCCCTGATTCAGATTCAGATTTATTGGTTTAGGATAGAAGGCTTGGAGCCTATGTTAATCCTTTTCTAGTAAATTTCTGTGGTTGTTCAAACCCTTCTTGAACGAATCAACTGAGGTTGCAGACACCACTTCTTCTGGGAGTCGGTTCCAAGAGTTTATGACTCGGTGTGAGAACCAGTACTCAACAGCAATATGATTTCTTCTTGGCTTTTGAACTCTCCTGCTATGTCCTCTAAGGTGTTCCGACCTGGTGGGAAGGAAAAGAGAAAATAGGTCAGGTCCGTAGTCATTATTTAAAATTTTAAACATTGTGATTAAATCTCCTCTCTGCCTACGGTATGACAAGAAGAAGAGATTTAAACTGTCTAGTCTTTCCTCGTATGATAAGTTAGTCATGCCATGAATCATACGTGTTGCTTTCCTTTGAACCCTTTCTAGAATGTGTGAGTCCCCTTTTAGACAAGGGCTGGCGGCCTGGATGCAGTTTTCCAGTCTTGACCTCACCAGAGATGTATATAAGGAGGTGAACATATCTCTGGTGATTCTAGTGAAGGCTCTACGAATTGCCCATAATGACCTGAAACTACGTGCAGCCACCGCGCGACAGTGTGCTGTAGTTTTTAAGTCATGGCTAACTATGACACCTAGGTCCAAGTAAGTCTGAACTGATGGAAGTGTAATTCCCTCTAGTTCATAAGAGCTCGTGCTTGCTTGTCCAATGCGCATGGTTGCACATTTTGTCACGTTTATCGGGAGCATCCATTCTATGGACCACTCTGACAATTTGTTGAGGTCCTCTTGCAACGTGGACGTGTCACTGTTGCCCTTCAGCTCTCTCCAAATTTTTAAGTCATCTGCGTATAGGACCATAGGGGAATCGGTGAGCAGAGATAACTCATTGATATACAAAATAAATAGGAGAGGTCCAAGTACCGTGCCTTGTGGCACTCCGCTGCGTACTGCTGTCCAAGAGGAGAGTTTCGAGTTGATCCTAACCCTCTGCCTCTTATCTATGAGGAATTCCCTGAGCCAGTTTAGTAAGCTGCCTTTGATACCAAGACTTTCTAACTTCATGAGTAGTCTTTTGTGAGGTACTTTATCAAAGGCTTTGCTGAAGTCTATGAAGACGATGTCAACGGGTCTTCTGTTGTCCCTGGATTTAACCCAGCTTTCTCTTGCAGTGAGAAGATTTGACAGGCATGAGAGGTTCCTTCGGAAGCCATGCTGTGCTCTTGATAATAAGCTTCTATTTTCTAGATATGCCATTATGCTTTTCTTGATGATTCTCTCCAGTGTCTTAATTAGAGTGCTGGTGAGACTGATAGGCCTGTAATTTGAAGGGCTTTGTCTTGATCCTTCTTTGTGGATGGAGGTTACTATGGCGTCTTTCCAGTCACGCGGTAACACTCCATTTCGGAGAGAAAGCTTGAAGATCGTAGTCAAAGGGCCGGCTATGTGTGCTGACAACTCCTTGAGAAGCCTTGGGTGAAGATTATCAGGACCCATTGATTTCCCTGCATCTAGTTTCCTTAGGCAGTTGAGCACGATGCCTTGGTCGATGTCAACGGAATCTATCCTATGTTTTTCTGATGCAGCCAGAGCTGATCCTGTAGGCAGTGACGACTCCTGAGTGAAGACTTGGAAGAAGTAGTTTGCCATTGCTTCTGCTTTTTCTTGATCTTCTTCGATTGTATCATTGTCAATAGTCAGGTTTGGGACACCATTGGATGTTTTTTTCCTGAAGTTCATGTACGAGAAAATTTTCTTAGGTTGTGCCTTTGCATTTTGAGCCAGGTGTGCTTCGAATTTCATCCTTGATTTGCGGATTTCTGCAATAGCTTTATTTCTAGCAGTGTTATATAATTGCCTGGTCTCAGAAGTCTCAAGTGTGGCAAACAAGTTCCAACATTTGTGTTTACGTCTAAGTAACTTACGAATCTCTCGGTTTATCCAAGGAGGGCAGTGTTTCCGACCCTTTAGGACAGACCAAGGGATGAAAGGTTCAGTTACTTGGGCATAAAGTTGTTTAAATTGGTTCCATGCGGCTTCTACTTGAGACTCTGGGTTGATGTACCAGTTTACTGAGTTGGCTGCTGAGACGATTGCATTTATATCAGCTTTCCAAACGTTTGGTCGAGATGGGGTTTTGGCCCTTGCTGCCGTTGCTGTGAACTTGAAAGTGAGCACACCATGGTCACTTCTTCCTAAAGGAGGAAGATGTTGTATGAGATCTACATCCTCACCATGGGAGAACACTAGGTCCAGAGTTGAGGAGGAGTGCTGTGAGTCATAGCGCGTGGGCTTGATGATATGTTGGACTAGAGCTAACGATATACTAGATTCCAGCAGTTTATAATCAAAGGAGTTGACTGAGGATGGAGTTGTTAGGCTCGTCCAGTCAACTGTTGGGGCATTGAAGTCGCCAACTACGAGACTTCGACATTTCGAGGTCCAGGAGCCTAGCTTCTCTATCAGGAAGTCATCTGCACTGCAGTTAGGACTGCGGTACATAGCAATGAGGTCAATGTCCTGACTTATGCATTTAAGTCAGCAGCGTAGAAGTTCACACGACTCACTTTCGTGAGCGAGTGCTTCGATACTACGCACGGTTAAGCATTTCTTGAGGTAAATGACTACGCCACCTCCTTTGCGGTTTAGTCGGTCCACCCTATGCACTTCGAAGTTTGGCAGGTTAACTTCGCTGTCAGTGACATCGGGTGTGAGCCATGTCTCTGTGATAATAATTACATACGGGTTTCCGGAGTCTATCATGTTAACCAGCTCAGTCCGTTTATTTAACAGGCTGCAGGCGTTTGTGTAGCAAACTGTTAATCCAGTTTGGTGCTTCCCCGGCCTACCCACAGAGGTTTCGGGATCATTAAACTGCGAACTTGAACAACCCGAAAACCCTTAATCTTAAGGTTCTTTTCGCCGTTTCGGCGTCGTTCGCTTAATTCTAGGGCCGCAGACTTCCTTTTGACACGGTCTGCCAGGCTTAAGTCGGCGCGGACATATATGCCTGATCCTTTAAGTATATGAGAGTTGCTTAGAATAGCATCCCTCTCTTCTTTAGAGTTTAGTACGACTTTGAGGAGACGTACAGGCTGACTTACTGTAGGGTCAGGCTTTTGGCCTATTCTATATACACTGTGTATAGTGATGCCTGATACTGTTTGTGGCAGTAGCTTGTCTAAAAGGGGCTTAACCAAGTTAAGGTCATGCTCAAATCTAGTCTTGGGTTCGGAGGCCAATGACTCTTCCACTTTGTGGAGAATGAGCGACCTGTCAGAGAGATCAGGTTTGCTTGCCGTGGTTTTCTTGCTCTGCAGCGTGAATGTCTTCCTGTCCTTCGTGGGCAGTGTGGCCAATGTATTGTCCTTATCTCGCGTTTTGCGAGAGACTACGTAACGCCATTCATTGGCGTTCTCCTCACTAGTCGTAGCAGGATTTATCTGCCTGCTACTCACCGATGTGGACGAGGCTTGATCCACTAGTACCTGGGTGACTTGAGTTGCGGGTTTACGACCCCTGGTACGCCTCTTCTTTGTGGCAGTCTTTCCGTTACTGTCACTGGAGGGCTTATCCAGTATCGTGGGGGCAGCCTGGGTGACTGGAATGTGGTGAGTGCTCTTCTGTGCTGAAGGGCACTCAGTCATTGACAAAGACTCATTAGGAACATGTACTGTTCTGTCGATGACGCTAGTCGCATCTTCGGTGTCTGAGAAGTAGTTAGTCTTCTCCTGTGATGGAAGACCCTTGCAGTCCATGAGCTTTAAAGCCCCGCTAAGAGTGGCAATGGCTTCTGTAATACGGAGTTTGGTAGTACTACAACAGTCATTACACAACCAGTTTTCTAGTGGTTTACAGCAGCGTTTGTATGCTGCAGGAGTTAGGTTTGTGCACATACTGTGAAACCATCTCTTGCAGTTATCACACTGCATTCCCTCGTCCACTGGGAATTTGCACATAACCCTTCCACAGCGGTTTTTTTGATGGGCATACTGTCTAGAACAGACTGGCGAAGAAATTTAAATATAACTTAGATGTATACAGACCTTTATAAGTCAGCGATAAAAATCAATGAGTGCACAAATATATATATATAACTATTATGTTATAAAAAACAATTTCCTATAATTAAAATAGACTCAGATCTGAAAAGTAAACTAACTTTGATCAGAATAAACTGATTTAAAGTTAATCTGTAGACTTTTGGAGCGTATAATACAACAAAAGCCAAAACTAAACAAGAGCGTGTAAAATTCACTCCCTTTTCAAAGTTCGCAGTCAAGTACACTTCTTGAACACCACAAGTAGCTAATCAGTTCTACTCAAATAAAGAAATAACTGTCCAGAAACTAGTATTAGGGTTACAATTGTAACCCTAATAGTTTCTACTTAAGTAGAAATCTACAGTCGTGAAAGTTAGAACTTGTATTACACCTCACGGTGATGAATTAATTCTAGACTTTGCAGCAGTAAGCGCTTGCACGGTAGATTGTAACTATATGGTCGGGACACTACGGATTGCCACAAGTTACTACGTCAAGGTCAGATGCTCTTAACTCTAGACTAATTATACTAAGTAACTATATGTTACATCTTGTCCTAATCGAAAGACACAACTACGGAAACCACAATACAGACACGAGAGATAATAATGGGCATATATACTAAAGAAGTCTCCACATATATCACATACAGACATTAAGACGACAATTAGGTATGTCCGTTCTTTGAGAGCACCGCTACGTGTTTTGTCCAATATCCAATATCCTGATTACGAGCTAGTATAAACCGGTGATGTCTTTGAGCTCGCTTCTTGATTGTAAGGTAGAGGTTCCAGATCTTCCGTGAACTTCTGCATAGTTAGTCCCGCCACTCGACTGCTTTAGCTCTGGTAGGCTTCAAGAGGAGTGGTGCGGGGATTGGTCAAATTGTGGTTTGTAGTATGCAGTATGTTAGGACTCTGTTGCTGCCGTGAATGGAGTTTGACCTAACTCCCGTTGGTCATTCGGTGTATTCATAAAAGCAGAATAGTAATAATAATAGGTTGTAGTGTAAATAATATAGGTTGAGATAAGTGAAATAATAAAGGTGAACCAAGAAAAAAGATGGAGTACTCGGTACATTGAGAGGAGACAGAACGGGTCGTGGGGATTTAGTTTTTATGCTTATCCATTGACAGTGTGGTTTTAAATTTTAAGAGGATAAGCCATTAAGACACAGCTTCCGCTTAAAAGTCTCCACAGATGGCGCTGTAGTCACGGCCGCCGGTAAAGCGTTCCAGAAACGGCAAACTCGAAGCAGAAAGAAATGTGAACGCACTCGAGTCTTTGGTCTCTGGTAGGCTATCCTTAGTGGTTTACCACGTGGAAGCCTATAATCACTTAATGGCAGGATGCTTTTATTAGGGTGGGCCTGGTCATTTAAGATCTTATAGACGGTGATGAGGTCTCCCCTGTGACTACGGTAACTATGTGTGAAAAGACTTAATTTCTTCAGTCTTTCCTCATATGATTTGTTGCGGAGGCCGATCACCCATTTTGTCGCTCGTCTCTGGACACTTTCTAAAATGTTAGCATCCCTTTTGAGTAGCGGAGGAGCAATGATATTATGCACCTCAAGGAGTGGCCTCACGTATGTCGTATACAACCTTAAGAATAGTTCGGGAGTAAGAGCTCCCAGCTGCCTTTGCATAAAGTGTAAAGTTGCGTAGGCTTTGGCGACGTCCCTCGTGTTATTTCCACTGGTCTCTAGCTTTTCTGTCAGAATAAGACCTAGATCACGCTCTGATGGCACACAACTCAAGTTCTGGCCACCAAGGGTGTAATTTACACTCTGTGATCTGCCAGAATAAAGTTGCACTACTTTGCAATTCCTTAGGTTGAAAGGCATTCCGTTAGCCAGAGCCCAGTCTCCCAGAGTTTGCAGGTCAGCCTGCAATCTGTCTGAGTCTTCGAATGAGTTTATTGCTCTCCAAATCTTTACGTCGTCAGCGTAAAGAAGCGCAGAGTAGTTCAGTTGAAGTGGCAGGTCGTTGATAAAAATCATAAACATCAGCGGCCCTAAGATAGAACCCTGAGGAACCCCTGATGTCGAGGTGTACCAGGATAATCGAATGCGGTTGACTTTGGTGCAGAATTCTCTCTCAGATCAATATTGGTATTGTCTCGCTTCAATACATAGGCCAAAGATGCTAGCATGGTTTCTTGAAGATCCAAAATCATACGTTGAAATTTTGGGCTCACTGTATCGTCTAATCCGTTATACTGCGATACATCAGTTTCAAGCGACATTTTTTGATGAAAGTGTAGCTGTACTAATGTAAACAGAGATATATTCACCTCTTTATATATATCTCTGGTTCGGTCAAGACTGGAAAAATGTCTCCAGGTGGCAAGTCCTTGTTTTGAAGGGGACTCATATATTCTAGAAGAGGGTCCAAAGGAAGGCAACACGTACGATTCTTGGAGTAACTAATTTATTATACGAGGAAAGAATAAACAGTTTAAACCTGTTCTCCCTATCACACCGTAGCAGAAAGGATATATAATTACAGCGTTTCAAATCTTAAATAATGACTGCGGACCTGATGTTTTCTCTCTAATCCTTCCCGTCGAGTAGGAACATCTAAGAGGACATAGCGGGAGGGTTCAGAAGCCAATGAGAAACTATATTGCTGTGAAGTGCTGGTTCTCACACCAAGTTATCAACTCCTGGAATCGATTCCCAGAAGAATTGATGTCAGTGCCCTCAAGTGAGTCATTCAAGAGGGGTATGGAAAAGCACGGAAATTTACTAGAAAATGATTAATATATGCTTCAAGCATTTTATCCTCAATCAACAAATCTGAATCTGAAATTTAACGCAGTTGCATAATGCAGTGCCACCGATAAAATGTGATTTAGAAAAGAACTTTCAATGCGAAAATTCAAATAAAAGGCACTTAAAAATACTTCTTACTAAATCACCATGGCAATGGACTACTATGCTACAATTAGCGGTGAAATGCAACATGTTACTCCTGACATAACTACTCAAGAAGCACACCATCATGTCCACAAGTTTTCGGTTCACAAGGATTTGGTTTAGGATAGAGGGTTCCACGCAGCTGTTAATACATATCTAACTTTAAAAAGCATGTATTTCTCCAGTCCTATCTTGAATATCACAGTTAAGGGCGCAGACACTACTTCTTACAACAGTGCGCTCCAAGAGGTCAGAGCTAGTGGGATGACTAGCACTCTCTTCTGAAATGGCCTGACGTGTCCGAGAGGGAGTATACCAGGTCCGCTGTCATTTCTCAAAATTTTGGACATCGTGGGTAGCTCTCGTCTCTGCCTATGTCATCATAAAGGAAGGAGATTTAGACTGTCGAGTAATTCCATATGCAGATCATATATGTGGCGTTCTGATGAAATCTTCCTAGAAAATATGAGTGCCGTTTGAGTGAACAGCCAGTTGTCTGGAGAAGGGATACTGGGCTGTACCTCGCCTAAGATATTTTTAAAGTGGCAAATATTTCACCAGTTATTCTAGCAAATCACCTACGTGTTTTCTGTGTGTATATAAAATGCAGTCTGCCGCCGTGCGATGGTTCGACGAAGATATTTTGTAGCGGACTATTATGAGCGTACATTAGAATTGGAGGCGATGGTATCCCCTCCATGTTGCACTCAGTTACGCCTACGTGTCCAGCTGGCATGGCTGTGAACCTAACTGTGTTGATGGAGAAAATGAAAGTTGGATCTATCTAGAAGACTTCTGAGATCTCTCTGCAATCTAATCATATCAGTGTCATCTTCAAGCTCTCACTGGATGCTGAGGACGTCTGCCTAGAGAGCCATGAGTGATTTGGTGAACCCAGGTGATTCATTGAAGCGCAAGATAAGTATGAGGGACCAAGCACAATACATTGTGGCATGCCACTGTGTACTGTTAATCAGGGAAGACAGTTTTGAACGGGCTCTGATTATCTCTCCCCATCTAAGAGGAATCCGTTGATGTAGGTTGGCTTTGACCTAAACCTTCGCAGATTCCCACAGCAATTTTATGTGACGTGCTTCGTCAAAAGCTCTAATTAAATTTATAAAAAACGTCAACGGGTCTGTCTTTGTCCCTGGGTTTGAGTCAGCTTCCCTTTTGTCATAAGGTAAAAACAAGAAATTTCATAGTAAACCGTACCGCCCGATGGATAACAATTCGTTGCTTCGCGGATATACCACGGTAAAGTTTTTGGTACTGTCCTGGTCAGTGAGCCAGAAAGACTGATATGCCTGTAGTCTGAAGGGCGGTGCCTAGATTCTGCCCTGTGTTTGGGGTTATTGCTGCATCCTCCCAATCGCTTGGCAACACGCCATAGAGAAGAAGCAGTTTTAAGTTTGTAGTTAGTAGGCCGGTCGGTCGGTTTTCGACATAGAACTTTGCACATATGTGCGGCAGTTCAAGTCGCCACAATCTATGTAGCACGCAAAGAAAGAGAAGGAAGTAGAAGAAATGCATAATATAGAAAGTAAACAGAGGTGTGAGACAAAGGAATAGTAATAACGGAGAACAAAAGTTTAATTGGAAATCATAAGTCACAAGGAGTGGATGCATCTGGCCGGCTACATGAGTTACAAGTTCCTTGGGAATCTTTGCTTGAGAGTCACGCGATCCCATCGTTTTCCTAGTGTCTAGTTTGCCTGGAAAGTGTAGTATGATTTTTAGTCAATGTTGAAAAACATTTATCTGGTCTTCCTGTGGCGCGACCAGGGTTGACAATGCCGATGGTGGCAACTTATGTGTGAGGACCCTGCAGAAGTAGTGTGTCATTGTTTCAGCCTTTTCATGATCTCCCTCACTTGTGTTAATTTCAGTAGTCAGGTTTGAGAACTCTTTGGATGATAAATTCTTGAAGTACCTGTGGGAAAATAGTTTATTATGTTCTACTGTGATGAGAGCTATCCGCAAGTCAAAATTCTGAATAACAATTGACGTCGATGTTTACGTCCCAAATCAGGGTCATGATAAAAAACAAGAACAGAGCTTAACCTTGATGAACTCAACAACCGATCACAACAGACTGATCGTGGGCGGATACGATTCGCAGATATACCAACGGACTGTCTAAGAAACGGCCACAAAGTGGTAACAGAGTAACCTTCGGCAGGAAAGCAACCAGTCAGAATACGTTGCTTCTCTGCTAACAATAACGAATAATGATGTACTTAAAAACCCACAAATATTTCTCGATTTTCTCAATAAATGATCTTTTGCCTGGCCGTTGTCTTCTGTTGTTACAGTACTACTGCTTTTCCGGCTAGATGCATTTGGGGCTTCATACTAATTTACGAGCTTATTCAACAGACTTGTTCCTGACTACCGCGCAAATGTTTCTGGTATCTGAATTCCCAAAAGTGATCGACAGGCACCAACACATGTATTCAGCAGTAATAATATCAGTCCTCTTCATTCCAAAACAGTACTTATGATGCAGTATGGAGTTCTGAGCATTTCGTACAATAAAGCATTTGATGATAGTAATGCTGTTAATCTTGGCAATTTACTAGGAAAACATTACATGGTATTCGTAAACAAAATTGAAAACAGCAATTTTTCAGCATTAATGGTAACAATAACTCCAAAAATGGAAAAAGTACGAAATGATAACGATTGATATAAAATCGCAAAGCAATAGAATTAGTGTTGTCATAATCTGCAAAT